AACTAAGGATAAAAATAAAAGGGTTGCCCAATTTATTGGTGGCCCAACCCATTAACAGCATTACAACTCAAAACTAATACAAATGAGCTAACTTATCACGCCAAAGTTAGGCTCTAGTATGGCCAGGGCATGATTCCTCCTATTTAATGTAAAATCCAGTGCCGTCAACCACACACGTTGATTGGAAAGCAAGATCATGAACGCTCGTGATTTAATTTGGTCTTGAACAGTATAAGCGAACCATGGCTGCCCCATAATCTCTTTGTCACATGTGACTCTTGATAATATTGAGCTAATCCACTAGAAGCACCAACAGAGACATCTCCTATGTTTGTTTTTCTCCAATGATCTCACTGAGCCTCTATTTTTTTGTTCTCCATGCTTCCTTGAGCTCTATGGTTGAGTGCTAGCAAATCCGTATCATTCCCCCTTTCCTCGAAAAGATTCGTCCTCGAATCTTAGTTAAAAGTTGAGGTACCTTTTTACTTGCTAGAATACGACCACTTCTCCTTGGAATCCATGCCTTTTCCTATACTCTTCTTCTCCTTTTTAGACCATATTGAACTCCATTGGTTGTTAGAACTTGAATATGCCTTCGCAACTCCTTTGTCTCCATTGGATTGCTTCTATAGGCTGGTCTATTTGGAATGGTGGAGCTAGGAATGAAGTCAATTTGATATTCTATTCCTCTTAAAGGTGGTAAACCACTAGGTAATTCACTAGGAAAGGCATCATCAAATTCTTATAACATAGAAGGCAAACTGTCAAGATTAGTGTTTGTTTCAGCAAATAAAACCTCTTTATACCTAAGAAGCAACACGGGCTTCTCCAAGGCAATAGTACACTTAACCTCCCTAGCTCTTGCATAAAAAGTTTGTTTCTTTTTTTCCTCTCTCTCTGTTTTTCACTCACAATTGGGCCATTAATTCGTTTTGTTATTTTTGTGGCCTCTTTCCCTTCATCCCTACTCTTTTCTCTCTATTGTTCTTTTGACTCCGAAATCTCACTTTCATTTTTCCTTAAGGCCAAAACCTTTCTCTCTCTCTCAAGTTTCTTCCTTTGATCTTCATATACTTCTTGGGGTGATAATGGTACAAGAACCACCTTTTTACCCTTATGAACCAAAGAGTACCGATTGTGGAATCCATCATCAAAGAGTACCAGTTGTGGAATCCATCATGAAGTGCTCTTCTATCATATTGCCATGGCCTTCCCAGCAATAAATGGCCTGCATGCATAGGTACTATATCACATAAAATCTCATCTTCATACCAGCCAATAGAAAATGGCACAAGTACCTGTCGAGTCACCTTCACCTCCCCACAATCACTCAGCCATTGTAACTTATAAGGCTTAGGATGTTTGAGACATGTTAATTTCAGCAGTTTGTTACCATTATTTTACACGTGGCGAACATTAAGTGCAACTACCTCCATCAAATAATAAGAGTACACACATTTTTCACTAATCAAACACCCTAGTGTGAAAGTTATTTTTCTCACGCCATTGCTTCAACGCTTTTCCTCTCCTTGAACATGCAATTTCAAAGCTTCCTCTTTGACATGCATATTCAAAGCACGTCTAACAACTAAAGCTTCACCATGTTCAGGAAGTATTAAGTTATCTGAATCATCATCATCATCATCATCATCAATCAATTTAGGCATATCATCATAATCACTACATTCAGATTCAGAACTAATATTTACATCATCTTTAGCAATCATAACTCTTTTATTAGGACATTGAGATGCATAAGCCCTTTCCCCAAACATTTAAAACATTTAATTTCTCTAAAAGGGGTTGTAGAGTTAGAAATACCTTTGTTGCTCTTAATTGGAGTTTGGACAGCCTCTTTACCTTTTTAAGTTGATTTTGTCCTTTGGAAATTAGAACCTTTAAAATCCTTCTTTTCACTTCCCTTGGACCATTTAGATCCCCATGTGTTGTTAGAGTATTTGTTGGTGGATCTTTCCTTTTTCTGCCTTTCAATTTTCATGGCCATATCTATTATCTCTTCCAGGGTATCATAGTGATACATCTCTAAAGCATCAGTAATGTCATTATTTAGACCTCCAAGGAATCGTGACATGGTGATTTGTTCATCTTCCTCAATTTTGGCTCTAGCCATGCAAATCTCCATATCCTTGTAGTATTCTTCCACACTCTTCCCTCATTGCACCATTCTTGCTAATTTATTATGTAAATCCCTAAAGTAATGAGTAGGGATAAACTTTTGGTGCATCAACTCCTTCATGATCTCCCATGGTGGTACATGTCGCATCCCCTTTCTTCTTCTTTTTAATAGCAATTGTTCCCACCAATCTTTTTCCCTTTTAGTGAGCATTGTTCCCACAAAACATAAGCATATCCCTGAATTCAACAACAGGCAAGATGGATTTCTTCTCCTGGAGAATAGTTGAAATCTAGTTTGTGGATGGGCTCTTGTGATAGAGTTGTGAAGCCGTTATCTCTTGCATTAATTCCTTCCCTCATGGTCTTGAAGAAACTGTTGTTAGGTTCTAAACTGTGCTTCGGGATGATACATGGGAAAAGTTTCAGTTGAGGATCTTTAATTTGACATTCTTCCATCCCCCGATTACCATCTCCAGATTGCCTGTACTCATGGTTAGTACTCAAATAGAAAAAACACGATAAAGAGTGATTGTTTAATAGTAACAGCACTCCCTCACATTGTTTACACTCTTTAACCACTCCTTGCAATTCCATCCCAATTGCTACTTCAGGAATCTTAGGTCAACCCAATACAACTTCAAAACAGCACGTTTAGAAACAAGGCAATAAACCTTAATAATGAAAAAAAACAAGTGCAAAATTCTAGAAAGAAGACTCAAAACAAGGAGGATGGATGGTAGCACAAGGACAAGACTATGTATACACGTGTTGATTATATTATTTGAGTTGTAGTAAACAAACAAACATTTTAACCCTAATAATCGTAATAGAAGCAAAGAACACAACAATCAAAGAATAAAGAAACTAGCAATTTAAAAGACAAATTCAGGATATAATGTAGGGATATTTATTTACTATTAAAGGCAAACCAATATGCCTGGACCTAATTAATTCTACCCAAAGGCAAAGTAAGCAATCAAGAAAAAATCTAAAAATTCAAAAAAAAAAAATTTTTTTTAATACCTAGCACGGGCGTGCTAAATAGAAAGCACGGGCGTGCTTGGACAGCTTGGTCCGACAATGAGAGTCAGAGCCTAGCACGGGCGTGCTTGTTGTGAAGCACGGGCATGCTGACTTGTATTCTCCCTTACCCCACCAATGTAACCCAATTTAGGTAGGATTAGATTTAGACAAGGATTGTAGTGGATAAGCTTAATCTCAAAAAGATATGGATAAATAATTATGTTTCCTTATCCACAAAGTAGTTAAGATTAGGTTTTATCAAAGGATTATAGTGGATAAGCTTGATCTCCACAAAATAAGGTCAAAATCCCTAGGAATAAGGATCAAATCCCTATGAATTAGAATCAAATCCCTATGAATTAGGATTAAATTCCACACAACAAAATTCAAACTTCAATGGTGGACGATTTTTTTTTTAACTTTCTTCTTCTTTTTTTTTTTTTTTTTTTTTAGAAAAACACCAATTAATGCAAAATTTCAGTATTTAAAAACTAAGCAAAACCAATAAGACAAAGCAAATAATTAAGAAAATAAAAAAATCAAAAAACCCTTAGAACTAAGAAACAATAAGAATTTACCTGTAATCTTTAGCTTTGATACCAAACTTGACGCGGAAACCCTATGGAAATTAAGAACCCTATGGAAATTAATTCTAAGAACTCTATGACAAGATTTGGAATAGATCAAAGATCAAACTAAACTCCCCTCTATGGCATCCAAAGCTTAAGGAAGTAAGAACACCAATAATAGAGTAAAGAATAATAAGATAAACGCCACAAGTAAATTGATAAGCTTACCTTGATTCTTGATGCAATTAGAGGAAAGCAATCTCACAATCACTCTAATCAAAGAACACGCCAAAAACATGAACAAATCTGAAGATTTATTAATTCATTGAATTGATTTGTTTAACAACATAAGAAAGCTATTTATACTAAAATCTAAAATCATGATCCTTAAAGGATTTAGAATAACTAATCCAACTAAGGTTAAGGATAAGGATTAACTAATCTAAACCAACTAAGGATAAGGACTAATTAATCCAAACCAACTAAGGATAAGGAATAAAACTATCCAAAAACGAAACTTAAGATAAGGAATACTTATTCCAAAAGCCAAAACTAAGGATAAGGAATAATTATTCCAAACCAAACTAAGGATTAAAATTAAAAAGGTGCCCAATTATTGTGGACCCAACCCAAATTAACAACATTACAACTCAAACAACATTACAACTCAAAACTAACACAAATGAGCTAACTTATTACGCCAAAGTTAGGCTCTAGTATGGCCAGGGCATGCCACACCATCAACATATGCCTCTAATAATGTAAGAAACCTAGGTGTGCCTTCAAGTGCCACACAACACTTGTTGAAAGTAAGATCATGAAGCTCGTGTGTAACTTGGTCTTGAGCATATAAGGACATGGCTACCCCATATCTCTTTGTATGACTTCTTGTAATTGGTCCGCTAGGAAGCACCAACGGATCTCCTTTATTGTTCTCCATGCTTCCTTGAGCTCTATGGTTGAGTGGTAGCGAATCCATATCAGTATGGATTTGTTGATTTACTAGAACCCACAGCAGAAGAATAGGAATGGCTGAGAGAAACCAAGAAGAAGGATGACAAAGCTCTGTTCATCCTTTAGCAAGTAATTCATGAGACTATTTTTTCACGAATTGCAGCAGCAACCACTTTAAAGCAAGCATGATCAATTCTGCAGAAGGATTTTCAAGGAGATTCAAAGGTCACAACGGTGAGAATGCAATCTCTAAGACGTGATTTTGAAACTTTGCTTATGACGAATGGTGAATCGATTTCTGATTTTTTGTCAAGAGCAATGGCAATAGTAAATCAAATGCGTGCCTATGGTGAGCAAATTTCAGATGAGACAATTGTTGCAAAGGTGTTGAGAAGTTTAACTACAAAGTTTGACCATGTGATGCTTGCTACAGAAGAAGCTAAGGATCTGTTAGTACTCTCTATTGATGAACTAATGGGCTCTCTTCAAGCTCACCAGTTAAGAATCAATAGATCATCAGAAAAGAATGAAGAAAAGGCACTTCAAGTGACGGAGATAGCCACCAACCAAAGGGAAAATGTTTGTTCAGTAAGTAGAGGTCGAGGAAGAGGAGGATTTCGCAGTAGTCATGGTCGTGGTAACAGTAGAGGTAGAGGGAGAAATGAGAGAAATGATTGACAAAGGCAGTTTAATAAGCAAAGTAACATGAGGAATGGCATTCAATGTTACCTTTGCAAAGGATATGGGCATATAAAAGCTGATTGTTGGTATAAAGATCAGAAGATGAACCTTGCAGCAGAAAATGAAGAAGAAGAAGAAGAAAGGCTTTTTATGGCTTGTATTGATACTAACCCGAAACTAAGTGATTTGTGGTTCGTTGATAGTGGATGCTCGAACCATATGATAGGTACCAAATCCCTATTCCAGGAGCTTAATGAGACGCAAAGAATAAAGGTGCAACTTGGCAATGCAAAGGACATGCAAGTTGAAGGAAAAGGCACTGTGAAAGTTGAAACCAGTCATGGTAAGGTAAGTCATGGTAAGGTAAAGCTATTGAATAATGTTCAATTTGTGCTTGATTTAGGATAAAATTTATTGAGTGTTGGAAAATTGATGGCTGGAGGGCATCCATTCTATTTGATGACAACACATGTGTCATTATAAATAAGAAATTGGGCCGGAGAGTTCAGATTCCCATGACTTCAAATAAGATGTTTCCATTGGATGTTTCTAACATGGAGAACCTTGCCTTTTGATTTAGTGCAAAAGATGACCCGATGTTATGGCATTTGAGATATTGGCATCTTCATATGAAGGGTCTGAAGTTACTCAGTGATAAAGGTATGGTTTTTGGGTTACCAAAAATTAATTCAATTAATTTGTGTGAAGGATGCATTTATAGCAAGCAAACTAGGAATTCTTTTCCTATTGGAAAAGCTTAGAGAACTTCAAACTGTCTAGAACTAATTCACGCTGATTTATGTGGGCCAATGCAAAGTGTGTCCTTGGGTGGGAGTCATTATTTCTTACTATTTACTGATGACTACAGTCGCATGAGCTGGGTTTACTTTCTAAAACACAAGTCAGAAACTTTTGAGAAGTTCTAGAGTTTTAAAGCTATGGCGCAGAACCAAAATGGTTGCCACATCAAAGTTCTTCGCACAAATAGGGGTGGAGAGTTCCTATCTAAAGAATTCAATTCTGTTTTGTGAAGAAAATGGCATCCAAAGGGAGTTAACAGCTCCTTACTCTCCAGAACAAAACGGCATCGCTGAACGAAAAAATCAAACTGTTGTGGAGATGGCAAGAAGCATGTTACAAGCAAGGAGACGTTCAAACCAATTTTGGGCAGAAGCTGTAGCAACATCTGTCTATTTATTAAATCTCTCACCAATAAAGGTTGTCATGAATTGAACTCCTTATGAAGCATGGCATGGAAGGAAACCATCTGTAAGTCATTCATGAATCTTTGGATGTGTTGCTTATGCTTTGATCAATTCTCAAATTCATCAAAAGCTTAATGAAAAATCTGAAAAATGCATTTTCATTGGTTATTGTACTCAATCAAAAGCATATAAATTGTATAACCCTTTTAATGAAAAGATTTCAGTTAAAAGGGATGTAATATTTGATGAAAATGTAAGTTGGGATAGGGGTAAAGAGTAAGAGCAGCAAGAGATTCCAATTGAAGTTTCTCCAGATGAAAAAACAAGAGTCAACTCCTATGCACCTACTAGTGCCTCTACAGCAACACAAATTTTGTCAAACTCGTCAACTTCAGCATCACCAGATAACAACTCTTCTGTTGAAGAATCTTCAGATGAGACACCGCTAGGGAAGTATAAATCTTTGGCCGATATAAATGCATCTTGTCAACTTGCTCTTACTATTTTAGACCTTATATTTTATGAAGAGCAGCTGAAAAAGAAGAGTGGCAGAAAGCCATGGTGGAAGAGCTGCTGAAAAGAAGAATGGAACATGGGAGATGGTTGACTTACCGAATGGCAAAAATGCAATTAACTTGAAGTGGGTGTTCAAGACAAAATTTGCAGCAGACAGAAGCATAAAGAAGTACAAAGCTCGTCTTGTGGCAAAAGGGTATGTGTGAATACTCAAATTTTGAGGCTTCTCGTGTTGTTGGTGGCATGTGAAACTCTTTAAATGGCATGTAGAAACCTCTTTAAATGGAGGAAAACACGCTGTACAGTGCCATGCCAATTAGTTTGACTTTGCTGCAGCAACTGTGCAAACAGTCCGGCCGGACCGGAGTTCCATTTTGGACATTTACTCGGAAAATATGTCAATTATGGTTACGTTGAAACGTCGGAATTTCACTTGGAGGTCGGAAACTCCCAAAAAAGCTCTCGGAGCGAGACATGGTGGCCACCACCAGCTACGGCGGCGCCGGCCGCCGGACACGGCGGCTCCTACCGCCTAGCATGGGCGGCACCTGTCGCCCCACCGCCTGGGCGGCACCTGCCGCCCCACCGACTGGGCGGCCCCTACCGCCCAGCATGGGCGGCACCTGCCCCCCCACCGACTAGGCGGCACCTGCCGCCCTCCCAGGCGGCAGCTACCGCCGAGCCAGGCGGCACCTGCCGCCCTGGACCCGAAAATGGCCTATAAGTCCAATTTTGGCACCCCTGTCTGTGTTGACGGACGAATAGCTGCCGCCGAGCCAGGCGGCACCTGCCGCCCTGGACCCGAAAATGGCCTATAAATAGACCATTTTCAGCCTATTTTGACACCCCTGTCTGTGTTGACGGACGATCTTTCTCCCTCCCACGCTCCTTGCGTTTTTCTTTACCGCTTTTTGCATTTTAATTTTTATTACATTATTGTTGTGATATTTGGCCACTAAAATTAAATAAATTAAAATTGATTAATATTTCCCAAGCGAGGAGCTTAATCTGGAATTAAGAAGCGGTCGCCGATTAAATCAGGTATGTAAACGAAACTCTGCCTATTTAATTTCAGCACTTTTAGCATTTCATGCATATTTCTCTCCTACTCTTAATAATTCTACAATTGCATAAATGCATCCACGTCATCATTATTTTTGGTAAATAAACTGCCTTAATTAATTTGATTAAGCTTAACGCCCGATTAATTAATAATCGTGGCAGTTAAGCTTAAATCCGACAATATAATATTGGTTAAAGAGCCTAGTTAATTAATAACTATTGTTCGATTGCCTTTATTTCGAACAATCTCGCCTAAAAGTCCAATTAATCAATAATTGTGGCTAACGGCCTCATTTAATCACGTTTTTTGGTAACAAAATTGCCTACATTTAATCAATCAATTTTGGCAACTAATTGCCTACGGTCTAATCGATTTTTAGCAAACAAATTGCTTATAAATGAGGTTAACCATTTTTTTTAGCGACAAATCGCTTAAAATCAATCTTTTGGCAAAATGCCTTAAAATCAACCATTTTCCGTTTAAAATTGTAAAATCAACCATTTTAGCGACAAATCGCGTAAAATCGACATTTTTTGGCAAAATGCCTTAAAATCAACCATTTTCGGTTTAAAACCAAATCGCAAATCGCGTAAAATCGACATTTTTGGCAAAATGCCTTAAAATGAACCGATTTCCGGCCAAAGGCCTAAAATCAACCATTTTAACGACAAATCGCATAAAATCGACATTTTTGGCAAAATGCCTTAAAATGAACCGATTTTCGGCCAAAAGCCCTAAAATCAATCATTTTGGCGATTTTGGTAAATTAATTGCCTAAATCAACTCATTTCGGCCAAAGGCCCTAAAATCAACCATTTTCGGCTCAAAGCCGTAAAATCGACATTTTTGGCAAAATGCCTTAAAATGAACCGATTTCCGGCCAAAGGCCTTAAAATCAATCATTTTGGCGACAATCGCCCAATCACATCATTTTGGCAAACAGATTGCCTAAATCAACCATTTTGGCTAAGAGCCCCATTAAAAAATTTCAACATTTTTGGCAACATGCCTTAAAAATCAATCAATCTTTGGCGAAAATGCCTAACACTCATGACAAAGATACACACCAAAAATGCACAAAGCATTACACACACTATGCACAAAGCATAACACACACTCATGCACAAAGCATTACACACTCTGCAAAAGCATTTACACACTCATTGCATTAAGCATACCCATTCAAAGCCCTTCAAAGAAGGCCTATCGAACTACGTTGACTTTGATTCTTCCATTCAAACGGAAGTACGTAGCGCACGTTCGGAATTTCACGGGGGTGCAAGTCGAAATCATCAAAATTCACATAAACATTTCATTTTTGGTCCAATTAATCATTCACCTTGGCAAAGCATTTCATCCATCGGTTAGTTCATCAGCATTAGACATAGTCTCGGGATTCCATCTTCGGGTTCGCAGGACTGTGCTTTAACATTGGGATAATTAATCTAGTAACTAGATTAATAAAATTGGGTCACTTAGTGGTTTTCCTAGTTTACCCTAAAATAATTAACAATGGTGGCTGACTCACCACATTCACGTGCAATTTCTTCTATTCACTATGCATCAATGCCTATGTGCATTTGGGGAAGGGGTTTCACAGTTTGGCGACTCTGCTGGGAATATGTAATCATTTTGCATAAAGCGGACTTACGATTGTTTGTGTTAAACTAACCCGCCCTTTCTTTTAGGGTATTATTTTTACAATTGCTTTGTTTTGCTAGGTATCAGCACGAATCAAGTGTTCTTTCTTTAAGAATACTTGATGAGGGGAAATTTGGAACTTAATTGGAAATTTAATTAATGACATTAAAACTTGGTTGAATTTATTTGCGCCGATTGAGAATCTTTCTTTTCCATGTGCCATAAAAATTTGAACTTTCAATGAATTCTTCTCTTCTGTTCAAACTTCTGAGTCTGGATTAGCAAGTAGGCTGATCGCAGGTCTCTTGGATTTATGCCGCGGAAAGCCAAAGCTTCCTCCCTGTTTACCGCCAAAACCATTCTCTAATCCTTTGGAGGTGACCCATGAAGTATGCGTTACCGTTGGGACCACGCGAAAACTCTTTGTTTCACATGTGGTTAGTATATCCTTACTCAAGGTTCAAGGGGTCCCTTAATAAGCCAATTCTCTATTTTGTTGTCTAAGCCTATAAAAAACCTATCTTTAGGTGTATGGCAACCCGATTGATGCTGGGAATCATTCCATAAAAATGGAATTATGTTGTGATGTTGTGCGCATTCACTGGCATTCATCCCATACTTCACACAAAAAAAATTTTCCATTTCAAAGTTGGAAAATCACATTTTGGTCCCTAGACCCTGAAAATTACATTTTGGGCCCCCGAAGGCCTAAAATTCTCAATTTTGGCCCAAAGGCCCAAAAAATTTTTCAATTTGGCCACAGAGGCCCCAAAAATTTTCAATTTGGCCCCAAAGCCTAAAATTCCTAATTATGGCCCCAAAGGCCCAAAAATTTCCCAATCGCCCAAAAGGCTCCCAAAATTTTCAATTTGCCCCAGAAGGGCTAAAAAGATTCTCAATTTGGCCCCAAAGGCCCAAAAAAATTTCCAATTTTGGCCCGAAGGGCCCAAAATTCCCAATTTGGCCGATAAGAAACCCCAAAAATTCCCATTGGCCACAAAAGGGCCCCAAAAATTCACATTTTGGCCATGAAGGCCCAAAAATTCCCATTTGGCCCCAAAGGGCCCAAAAAATCACAATTTGGCCTAAGGCCAAACAATTCAACAATTTGGCCACTAAGGCCCAAAAACTTCACAATTTGGCCACAGCAGGGTTTAGCCACAGAGGCCCAAAAGTTCCCAATCTGGCCACCAAGGCCCAAAAAATTTCCAATTTGGCCACCAAGGCCCAAACATTCCCCATTTGGCCAAGGCCCAAAAAAAAATTTCACATCTTGGCCCCTAAGGCCCCGAAAATTTCAATTTGGCCCCAAAGGCCCAAAAATTTCCAATTCGGCCACGAAGGCCTAAAAATTCCCAATTTCGCCCTTAAGGCCCAACAAAAAAAAATTTCTTTGAGAACTTAGGGCCTTTCGAAAAGTCGAGGTGTCCAGCCCTAAACATTCTACCTTACATATCATATCCCGTTGGGTCCTATCCTAACATACAACATTACCTACCTCCACAGTATCTCAACATTACCCTATGCAAACACCTTATATAGGATAGTCTAAATTCATGGACTATGTCCTTTCACAGGTTTACCCCTCCAAGGACCACCCGTAGCCCAGCCACCACCCTACCAGGTGCTATCACAACCCCACCACAACTTCAACTGCCACAATGGCATCCTTATTGACATCAAAAACCTCATTGGAACAACTTGGAAGACCAGGAATGGAGGCTAGAATGAATGACGGCATTTGGCTGCCCAAAGAATTTGACCTATTAGGACTGAACTGGAGGGTAGTAATGGAAATGGGGGCTCCAGGTTGGGGGAATGGTAATGCTTGCCTTCCAATTCAAGGACTTGGTGCTATATCTGCATCCTCAAACCCTAGTCCCTAAACTTGGAAGAATTGCCCTCCAAAACTGCTTCTGAGTTTGGAAGCTCAGAAAGATGAAAGAGATAAAACTGCGAATTGTTAGAAAAGATCTGTTACTGCCCTTAAAACACACAAATGAAGTGTTGGACATGGACTCCTTGTCCTTGTTTCCCAAGCGAAGGACTACAACAAAATTCAAATGCCCAACTGGATAAGTTTGACGGAATGTCACTTGTTCCCAAAACGCACCTGAGAAATGTAATGTGGTCAATGTATGTGGGTGCCCTTAACCCGTTCGGACTGAACAGTGAGCTCCTTGCTCAGTTGTTTCAGCAATCTTTGACTGGTGCTGCATTAAGATGGTTTGTCAGCTTGGATCATTCCAAAATGAAGAATTGGGAGGACATATGCAATGCTTTCAACACGCAGTACCATTATAATATCGAAGTGGATATTACTCGGAGGGAGCTGGAAACCACTAAACAAAAGAACA